CCAGAGTCCTTGCATTGTGGAAATCACTTCTGAAGTGCACAGCTGTGCCTCACTAATGAGACAACTTGAGCCCCACAGCTTGCTGCACTGGCTTACAGAACAAAAGTTACTTGGCAAATGTGAAGCCTCAGGGTTTCTATTCCACTTTAAGGAGGTTGTTGGGAATCTCTCAAAGAAAAGCAGTTTTGGCCTTAGAGTTTTCAGTCTTTTAGGGAAAATACTAAGGAAGGAGGCACACTGATAGAAGCAATTAATATAGCTCGTCATCAGGGGTGGACATAATGGCATGAGAAGCTTTACACTTGGGGCAGTGCTGAATGACAGGGGCTCACCAGAGCTGGAGCATTCAGCTGTTTGTGATGTGCCAGCAATGGGCTGGGCATGGCTGGAGCTCCTGAGAGCTTGGGATATAGTTGTGGCAGGGGGGATTGTTCTCCAGGTCTCTGGGAGAGGAGCACTGAGAATGATCAGCCAGCCTGGTGGAGCAGTGGTTCCAAGCCAGCGGCTTGTGAGAAACCTCAGAGCCACTCAGAGCTACAACAAAGTAAAAAAAAATTGAAGCTGCCAGGACAAAATATTGTATCACTGGCAAAGCCTTAATTATTTAGTGTTTCTGCTGGTGGCTGATGGCACAGCAATCAAGAGCAAGCCATAAGTAATATATTGCATTGAACATGGTCTGAAGTCAGGGTTCATTAGCATCACGTAGGAAATGTTGATTAAGTTCTGTGCAGAAGGCAAGGAACATAAAAGCAAATACTGAGGTAACATACAGTGAGTGTCACAAACTGTTGTGCTTCGGCCAGGGCACAACGGGCACCAGGTGGGGGAGACATGAAACTCCTTCCAAAGAAATCACCTGCTTTGTAACAAAAAGGGAAAGCTAGGCTACTCTGGAATAAGGTCACTTTCTCCTGAACCAGTAAGACTGGCTCTTATAGTGTTTATGTGTGCTTTTTCAACCATTAGCGTACTGAATTCAACTTAATTAATTCAGTTAAACATGGGAACAGATTTGCTTTCCTGTACATCAGTCTTCTTATTTGTACCACTGCTTTTACATGTGCAGCCAGTTTGGGAGCTGTTGCAGAGAGGCTGATGGCTCAGTAATGCAGTCTCATTCCAGCTCTGACACGAGACAAACGCAGGCCAACCATAGAGGTGTTGCCGTGCAAGAGAAACATTTTGCACTTAGTCTTGAGTGCTTAGTTAAAGGTCATCTATCTGAAAGGAATTTGGATATTCTTCAACCTTTCATGGTAACTCTTGTCTCCCAATACACTTTGAAGTCATCTGTGGTATTTCCAGATGTATCCATGAGGAATGCTGGTGTTCATGAACTGACAGGTGGTCTTTTTCTGCTGAACTCAGTAGTGAGCTCTTCTCACTGCAGGTCTTTTTTTGTTGTTTTGGTTTGAGGTTTTTTGGGTTTGCTCATTTGGTTCAATTTGTTTTTGTTGTTGTTATTGTTGTTGTTGTGACCAGGTCATCATTGCCAAGATAAAATACTCTGGCTTTTATTTATAGAACAGAATTTTTTACACTACTGATAATGGAATGATCTGAACCCAGGGGTCTTGAAAGTAGGTCATTAAGTACTCAGTATAAGTCAGTGTTTTACAGTGTTCGTTATTTTACTGGAGGGAGCCGTCTTCTTTTCTAAACCTTGGCTTCAAAATCAAAAGACAAAAAAATAAGCAAAAAAAAATTATTTGATTTCATCACAAAGGAAATAATTATATCTGAGAATAACATATTTTGTATCAGGAGCAACATTTTTCAATTTATTCTTCTCAAGCACTTGAGCACCAAAGTGTCTGAAAAGTAATATTTTTCGATCATTGGACAACATAGATTTTAAAGTCAATAACAGAGCAAATTACCTCAAATTGGAAAATAAAGAAACAAGCATGGCATTGTTTTTTGTTTCATTAACCAAATCAGGCATTTGTGATAGAGCAGCAGCACTTCTGGGCTAATCTCTGGAAGTGGGAGTTGCCAGGAGTCAGTTTGGCCTGTGGGAATACTTGTAGCTGTGCAAAGCTGCACTTATTCCTTGTGGGCACAAAGGTGCTGTTATGGGGTTTACCCCATGACAAAGTTCCCCTGCTGCCTTCATTCCCTTGGGATAGCCCATCTACCCTTGAAAAGCTGATTTGCCATTTTCTGGGGCACTACACTTGGGAACTGGCTGTGCTGGGACCTCTGTTCTCCCTCTCTCCATGCATGTCTTGATATGACTGGAACTGAAAGGTGATTTGAGCAATTTTTTTGGACAATACTTGGCTCATGTGCTGTCCAAGTGCCTGACCTGTGTTGTAGCAGTAGCCATGTGCTCTGCCCTGTCACAGAGGTGCTGTCCATGGAGTTCAGGTACACAAGAACTGTGGCTGCTTATTAACAATGGATGCGATTGAATGTCAGCAGCTTTTACATGCATGATGTGTTACACTTCAAAGTAATTAGCAAAGATGCTATAAAACTCGCCTACCTCTCACCCCATCCCTTTTGGAGCAAGGCTTCTGAAAAATAATTCATATTTCATGGGGTTTGCTTTTTTTCACTTTGCTTTTTTTTCCAAAATATCACTGTAATAATTACTGTAACAGCATTTTCTGTGGAGTTAATGTTCTTCTGGCTTAATGGCCCCTGGTTATTCTCAGGCCATCAACTTTTTCCAGCTGGTCATCAATCCCAAAGAACTGCCTTGTGCCTCCATTATTATTGCTTAAGTAGATGACATTTCTGGTGCCACCGCTGCCTCCCAATGAGATGATATTACAGCCAATGGCTTTTTTCCCCCCTTGCTTTCACTGTTGTCAAAGTATAATAAACAGCTGCTGTGAGAATGTTGTGGCTGTTCACTGTGAATTCCTCTGACAATTTTTAGGTGCGAGTTTTGTAGCCCAGCTGAAAGAATCTGAGTGAGGCGACTGAAAATTACTTGCCTAGAGCAGCTACAAGGGCTCAGCCCCATGCATCATTCAGGAAGTGGCTAGGCAATACCTGACTGTTTCAGTCTAAAGACTTTTTCCCAGAAGGAACATGTTTCAAGCCAGATCTGGGACAGATGTTCTGGGGGTGTGTTAATGTTCATTATGTAGCCTCAGACCCCTTCCCAAGTTTCCACAGCTCTGCTGATGGCCACCCTTGTTTCCTAACAACTGATGGATTATGTGGCAGACTTTTTTAAAAGAAACAAGGAAATTGTAGCTCAGTAGGCCAGAAACCAGCAGGGATTGTTTAGGTGAAAATGCCTTGCTATGTGGATATTCCAACCCGTGTGAGTTAACATTGGTACTGACTACATTTCCTTTAACCTCATTAGCACCTAGTCTTGCTTTCCCAAGCATGGTGGTGGAGCAGCTCGTTCACCTTAGAGCCTTTCACTAGGTAATTCATCAAAGTGGCAGATGAAAGCTTAGAGGAAAATGCATGTAAATACCGTGTTAGGAACCTTGGCTCACAAATGCATGAACATTTTCACCCATACCATTAGCTCTGCATTATAGTCCACAGATGTGAAAGGGACTTTGCTTATTGGGGGAGATGGAGATACAAGGCTTACTGGTTAAATTACTGTGCAGATTGTATGCTTTTTCTTATTTTTTCTTTAATTAAAAAGCATTAAGCATTCATGAGCTCGTCTCACAGAAGAAAGAATCTCAGACTGTAATTGGAACCTAGTACTTAGTACCTTCAAAATTAAAACCAAGTTACTCACAGTAAAACACTCCCATCAAGTACTCAGGGCCAAAGCATTTTCAAACAAGGCTTGAGATTGTGTCAAACCTACATCATGTATCTTTTTCAGCTTTAGAGTTTTAAGCTGTGCCTCACTGCAGACTGATTTAGTCATTGGATTCCTGTATATGTGTAGGTCAGAATGATCAAGCAGTTCAACCCTCTGTGCCAGGGGTTTTTCTGATGGGTTTTTTTGTTGGGCTGGCTTGGGTTTGGTTTTTTTGGGGGAGGGGGGTGGGCAGGCATAGTTATTTGTTTGCTTTGTTGTTGTTTGTTGTTTTTCAAAGACACTGAGATACACATCAAGTGCAAGATACTATTTCCTGGAGGATTACCAAGGCACACCCTCAAACAATCTTTATTTACCTCACAGTTTATTGTATTCTTGTTGGAAAGTAGCACTTTGGGAATACTGTTAACCCTTGCTCCTTTCAGTTCTCATGCTGAGTAGTAGATAATGACATACTGCTCTATAATTGATACCTGTGGTGGTGGCATACTTCAGTAACATGATTTATCAAGCATTTTCATTTTCATGAAAGCTTGTTTTACTCTTCTGCTTCCATCAGGACGGCACTCACTGAACAGGCACCTCCCATTCCATATTACTGTGCAACTTTCAAACATGACCTGACAAGGTAGCAAAGGTTCAGTGCACTAACTCACTGCCATGTAAAATACACACAGACATTACTGACCAGCTCTGACTGTTGAACCATAAAGGAGGTGTGAGAGCACTGCAGTGGTTGTGGCACAACTTGCAAATAGCATGGAAGGATTGGGGCCAAGGTATCAATCTCTTCCCTTAGCAAAATGTCCTGACCCCAGGGTTGAAAAGCTATTCACGCATGAACTTATGAGGACTTAGGATTTATTATTTCCTGAAAAAAAAAAAGGAAGCAGAAGAATACAAAATAATTTTAGCTGTTATAGCAAGTGGAAGAAGTACAAACCTAAGCAGTTGGGAAGAGTAGAAAAGCTGTTGTGATTTCTGTTGATGAAGCATCGGTGGAAAGGAGGATTTACACAATGGCGTAGTTCCACTGAGCAACTCTAAGGGCTGCACATCTACACCATATTCCCCCTAAAAATGTACAGGTAATGGGTCCCCAGCTATTTGGGAAGACTGCCAGGAGAGATTTATGTCCATTGCTCTGAGGTTTTGCTGTGAAATGTGCCGTGGAGGTGTAAAACCCAGCTATGTAGTGAACGGGGAGATGCCTACAGCTAATTGTGAAGTGCGTATGTCTTTGCAGCCGTTAAAGATGCACTGCAAGAGCTGCGCGCTGGTCACCAGCTCAGGACACCTCCTGGGGAGCAGCCAAGGGGACAGAATCGACGAGAGCGAGTGCGTCATACGCATGAACGATGCCCCCACTCGGGGATATGGAAAAGACGTTGGGAACAAAACAAGCCTCCGAGTCATTGCACACTCCAGCATTCAGAGGATTTTGAGAAATCGCAACGAACTCTTAAACATGAGCCATGGTGCTGTGTTCATCTTCTGGGGCCCGAGCAGCTACATGAGGAGAGACGGCAAAGGCTTGGTGTACAACAACCTGCAGCTGATGAACCAGATACTGCCTCAGTTAAAAGTGTATATGATTTCTCGCCACAAGATGCTTCAATTTGATGACCTTTTTAAACGGGAGACTGGAAAAGACAGGTGAGAACTTACATGGATACACCTAGGGGATGTCAAAGGGTAGTAAAATAATGCAGTTTATATATACCAATTTCAGATCTGCTCAGAGGGACAATCCTGCCCATTAAATCCTCTGCCTCATGAGTTGCAATGTGGCATGACATGCCAAATAATATCACTGGAAACATAAGTAAAAAATACGCATCAAAATGATTTGTATGGAGTGTTGCCTCATCAGCCTAGAATAGCAGAGTCTGGATGTACTGTTTATAGAGTTGAGGAGGCAGGAGCTGTTTAAATCTCACTTTGGGGTAACATACCTTAAAGTTTTTTTTCACTGATTCTGAAGAATTAGAATGGATAGGTTATGTTTTCTTATAGAGGAAATGCCACCATTCAGTGAATTATAATAGCTGTTTATTGAATTTAAGCATTCTTGGAACATTGCAGCTGTAAAACTTCTTGTAAAACAAATAAACATTAGTCATACATTAGGTGCTTCAGAACAGTTCATCTTACATTTGCAACTGGAAAATGGAAAGTTATTATGATAGTTACATCTTTATGAGACTGTTTATGAGACTTGTAGGCTGATCTTCAAATCAAATTTGTAGTAAGTGACCCACTGCAGTACTTGAGTATTTTAACATATAATGTTGGAAAATGGGCATTCAAATCAAAGACTTCCCATAATAGACATTTATTTTTAATGAAGTTCTATTTTTTTATTTATTAAATATGCTGCTGTAAAAATGGCACAGGGTCTGCACTTAGATACAAATGAAGAGGTAGGTTTATTGTGCAGTAACTCACAGTCAGATGTGCTACCTTACAAATACAAAACATGCATATCAAAGCTTGAACAGGGATCGATCCTCTTGTGGACTCAAGCAGAGTTTTCATTTTCTGGGCTATGTGAGAAAGGCAGAAACAATGTTAGAGGAAACTGTTGTATCCTCTTAGCTGAAGGCAACTTTTGCTTGGTGTTTGCTGCCTTTGAACATGCTTTTTTCAGTTATAGTGGATCTGAGTTCATGGCAGACTCGGGCTGAAACCAGAGCACAGAGTAACTTGGTCAGTTTTGTAACAGTAAAAGTTCTTCTCTTCATCTTCCAATTGGTGTATTTGGGTCTCTGCCAGAACAAGAAGGAAGGATAACAAGAGGGGATACCCTGCCAGTTGTAATGTATTTGTCTTTTCCAGAGTAAAGCAAAGTGAGAAGGTGAATTAAGCATTTGAACCCTTGGAGAAATATGCAGGGGGTTATCTGTGTGCTCAGTATTTACAAAGGCATGCTTTTGGTGATTCAGGGTAGGATCACATGCTGTCCCCAGTTCTGAGGAACAGTTTCCCTCCCTGCTTCACTCTCAGAACTTGAGTTCTGCCACAGGGAGCCAGGGTCCTGTTCCTTCCCTGACACTGCCAGGATCCTGTTCTTTTTCTGGCACATGCTGTGCAATTTCAGGCAAGCTGCTCTTTCTGGTTCTGCATCACCCATCCAAAGCCAGAGGCCTGTGGTGTGTGATGAAAGCTTTTCTTTTTCTGCACAAGCACCAGGCTCAGCTCCTGAAATATTCTCAAGGTATTTGAGCCATTAACGGCATTGTAACGAGTTTATAGTGCACTCAGTCATGGGCACCCTGAACTCCCAGCGTGATTCAAGGGCACTCAGATGCCAGCAAAATTCAGCCTGAGGAACAGGCCCTGTTGATTTTAGAGGGCACAGACAGCATACTTGAAGGGCTAAGAAGATTAAAATGGGAGATGAAAATGAATGAGCTGCATAGAAGAAAGGGAAGATGAAACATGGGTAGAAAAGAATTTGTAAGGGAGAAAATTCAGGTGCTTGTGGGGGCAGGAGCATAACATTGCTCAGATCAGAATTTGAACTGAGAACATTGCTCAGATATGGCCCAGAATTCTGCTGTTCCCCATGAGGTTTCTGCTGAGCTCTCGACATTAGTGCCTACAAGAAACAAAGGAGGGAGAGAGAAGCATGATTGCAAGGTTGCAAGAATAAGACTATTCATTTCCATCCTGAAAATGATGAGAAAAAAGGTAATTGGATGTATTATGCTTTTTGGAAAAAAATTATTTTGAAATTAAGAAAAACCTTCAGAAAACATTGCCAGTTAAATAGCATGGTGAAAGACAAAGGCTGCAGAGCAATATACTTGGCATTATAAAGTAACTGTACTTGAAAATAACTTTATAATTGAATAAGGGTACATTAAGAAAATATGATTCAGAGCCAATATTATAGTAATTAGATAAAAGCAGCATAAATGAAATAACTGCAGGAAGAGTATTTCCATAGAGATTATAAATGAGATTTTGGTGGAGCAGAAAGGCCTTTAATTGTAATTTAGTGTGCACTACAGAATTATCAGCACAGTGTGTTAGTTCATCATATAAAAGAATATCTGATAATTTCCCCTAATAAGCACATGACAGTTCTTCATATTCTCTCATTACTGCTGATTAGGTAGAAAAACAGTATTCTTTTGTTGGACTCTTGCTCAGATCTTTTATGAAATGCAAGACACTGTAACCGTGTTTTTGTGTTGCTGTCCTTCAGACATTGTATTTAAAGAAGGCCGAGTGGTACTTGAATGAATTTTGAAATCTTTATTTGCTTATTCAGCTTCTAAGCCAGTTTAGTTAGATTCAGTTGTTCTCCTGTTTAGGGAAAACACTAAATTATGCCTAAGTGTGTGTAAGCAGAAAGACAACTAAGCCAGCAGAGAGCCTACCAGGGTGTCCTGACCTGTGCAAAGCTTTGGTCATGGTCTGGCTGCAATTGCTCCCCTGGTTTTGGAATGTAAATGTTGGGCACCTCAAAAAGTGGACTTGTGCAAGCTCCAGAGCACTCTTAGCCTGAACATGTTCCTGAATTATCTAGTGATTCAGAGCTCAGAAACTCTCAGGTGGCAGAGAAGCAAAATTTTTAAGCTTTTCTCTACTATTCTCTTTCCTAATATTTTTGAGCCAAAAATTCTTAGTGTTTATATTGTTGCTGTGCCTGAAGGCCTCCACTGAGCTTATGACCCAGCTATGACATTGTGACAAACTGCACCACCACCCCCAAGCTTCAGTGTGCAGTCAGAAAATAAATAAGGCCCCATAATTGGAAATAATGAGATGCTTATAACATGTCATTCTCCAAATGCTAAAGTTAGCTTGAAAGTCTGCGTGTCAGGAGCAGTAAAGATGTGTGTTCAGGGAGTTTATGTTACCAGGTGATCCACTAAGGACAGGACAAATTACCTGGGCTCCTCAGCATCCTCCAGGCGTATTTAGTCAAAGAATTCCCTTATGTTTAGAAGTGTCTTTTAAGTAGCTGGCACAGATGCCACCACATTTATTTTTTTTTTCCCTTGCAGTCCCTGAGGAAATGGGAAGCCTTGGTACAAGGCATTCCTCAATCTGACAGTGCTCAAAACTTCTCCTCCTACTGCCCTGTAGGTGACCTACTTGGAACCAGCTTGTTTAGCATTAGCCTGGGAAGCTGCATGGTGGCTGCTGCTGGCTGAATTAGATGGTAGTGATTGCTGCCACTTGCTTGCAGTGACTTTTGTGGCCTCAGGTCCCTGCTTCCAAGACTGTTCCACATCCTGCTATCACTGGGTAAACTGTAAAAGATGGCCTTGGAACTTGGGCCAGGACCTGGGATTCCCTGGTGACTTCTCTGAAGAGAACCTCATGTTCTCATGCTGTGATTTTTTGGGGGAGCTGTTACAAAGTTTCACAGGTATCTGGCAGATACAGGTGTGGGGGAATGGTATTAATGTAGGTCCACATTAATACATTCTGGTACAGTGCCCAGGCCTTCCCAGAGCCTGCTCTTGCTCCCTTGGTGCCTCAGCTTTAGTAGGAGATGAAGGGAGAGCCTGTCACTGTGACAGGCTGTCAGCAGGAATCTGCGGGCTCTTTGGGCTGCAGATAACACAAGCTTGAACTTCTTCCTGTGGGACTTTCCTAGCTGGGTGAGGGATTAAGGAGAAGTCCTGTCTTATTCTTTAATAGCATTTGAAAGGAGACCTTTGAGTGAACTCATTTTCTCTGAAGCAAACCCGACTTTCTGTGCCTCCATGTCTAAGAGGGGTGCTAGTCCCCACACATGCCCTAGTGACACCTTTGAGATATTTTCTTTGCTGACATTTCCTTGATCCTTCCATTCCAAGAGTGCCAGCTCTCCCACAACATAGAGCCACTGCAGGAACTTAAAAAAGGAATGGGAATTCCAGTGCACGTGCCAGACATCCAATAACCATCATAGAACCCAACTCTTAGAAACTAAGCAGCACTGCCAAGCACATGAGAGGAAAAGGAAACATTACTGTTACCATTTTGCAGATAATTTTATGATACAGAAAAATTTAAACACAACTTGTAAATCCCTTACATCTGTGAGAAGTTACAAGGTGGTATTTCCTACTTTGCATAATTAATGATGGGATCAGTGGAGCTTCTTTTAAAGCCACGTCCCAGCCTGCAGTGAAGGCAGGAGAGGCACTGCCCTACAGGGCTCCCTGCCAGTGCTCTCATTCCCATTCTAAGGCATGGCAGCCAGGGTGGTTCCTAGGATGAAGATTTCCCAGGCTGGCTATGGGACAGTCAGAGCTGCAACCAACTAAAGACTTTCCCACCAGCAGTCACAGTGAGGGGCTGGGAGCTTCTAAAACCAAGCCAAAAGATCAGCTAAATATTAACGTTGCAGTGCCTAAAATTAATTACAGTGAGGAAAGTTTCTGCCCAGATTACTCCACTGACAGGAGGCACCAGAAAAATCACTAAAAGATGGATGAGCAAAGTAGTCTTGGTTGCCCAGTTTTCAAAGCCTTTTACAAGAATGAAGAAAATGCCGAGAAATTGCTTCAGAATGAATGAATAAATAAATAAATAAATCTCAAGAATTATTTGTCAGCTTAGAAACTTAATTATGTTTTTGCTTTCAGGAAGATATCCAACACTTGGCTTAGCACGGGCTGGTTCACAATGACTATCGCATTAGAGCTCTGTGACAGGATAAATGTTTATGGCATGGTGCCACCGGATTTCTGCAGGTAGGATTTATTTTGGAACCATTATTAGCCAACTAAGTTAATGTTACAGATAAATATCTGAATCTTTTAATCTTCTTGCTCTGCAACAAGTCTTCAGTCCTCTTAAAGCAATTAATTAAGATGTCCCATGATCTCATTCTGAAAACAACAAATAGCATTTAATTATGTTATATAAAATATTTTAAAATTTTGTTTGTACTGCTGGAGAATTAATCCATCTTGTTGCTTTCTTTTAGTCTGTGAATATTTATCAGCTAAATGTAATGCAATAATTGGCATGAAATTAATCTGAAGAAAGAAGTACTGGAAAACATTACTTTTAATTTGTTTTTCGAGTTCCCCCCAAATTAATCGAGGAACAGTGTTCTCACAGTGACTAGTTTCTAAATTGAACTTTCAGTGCAACTCAAATTAACATTATTGTACCTCTGTCACATGAATGCAAATCTTGCAGCTTCCTAAATAATCCCCACAAACCCCTCCCTGTGCTTTTGGACCCAGAGAATGTTCTGTACTCACCTGTTTGGGGCATGGCAGGGGGTGGCTCACACGAGGCAGAAGCAGCACAAGTTGTGTCTGTGGAAGCTGCTGTCCAAAGGAACAGCTTGCACATGTTTTCCAGCTGGGTCATGCCTCCAGCCATGTTCAGGACACAGACCCCAGGTCCTGGTTAAGGTTTTCCCACTATGGATCAGTGACACAGAGAGAGTCTTCAGAACTTGTAGTGCTAGACCAAAATTACATTAGCCACAAGACAGCAGTATGAATACAGACAAATTTGTATTACATCAGCAATATTGATGCTGACCTAAGTCTCACCTGCCCACCCAGCACTAGCCCAGCGCTGGCTCCTGCCCACAGCCATTGCTGATCCCATTTGTCCTGCTGGGTGACCCAGGAAGAGCTGGAGCCAGTCTGGAACCAGGCCTCAGTGCAATGTTTGATCACCTGCTCACAAACCCCTTTCACCAAGAAGTACCTGCTTACATTTTCTGTTGCTAATGTAGTGATCTCTGTCAAGTCTGGTTCATTGGGTAATTCCCATGCCTTTCAGGGCAGGGAGGGCAAGGCTGCACTGCTGGGTTAGTCTCAAAGAACAGAACTGCTTTGACTTTCCTCTGAACACTTAAAAGGATTGTTCAGGAATCTGCATTTGTCTTGGGCACGTTGTAGAAGTCCCTGAAGAAATCACAGCACAAAATGTCAACACTAAACTCCACTTTGTGAGAATTTCTACAAATTATAACAAAACACTGATGATAAATGCTGTGATGTACTGCCAGACTTCATCATGAATTCTCCAAGGAAAATAGCAAACTAGATCAGATATGCCAGACAACACAAATACCTTCCGCAGCACAGCATCTCTCCTCTGATTTCAGTTGGCCAACACATACTATTTCAATTTCTGTAAGTGGCTGGTCTGTCTTACTCCAGAAGTGGCTGTATTCCAGTGGCACATGGAAGTAATTCTTAAACTGATGATCTAAAAATACAGAAAACAGCATTTTACTGCAAAATAATGTGTAATCCTGATTTTTCAGACGAAGTCAGAATAGTTTAGATATATATTAGAAAACTCAACTAAACCCAAACAAAGTGTTTTGAGAGAGACTAAAAATGTCACTAAGAACATGTGAAAGGCTTTCATAGAATCACTACACTGAAATAAAATCGACTTAAATTATAACACAAGAAAGGCTGTAGATGAGTCCTACCAGTGAAAGATGTAATTGTTCTTACAGCCTGCATAAAAAAAATCTTAACATAAAGGTACACATACCTGGTTGTAAAAAGGGTAATATGAAATGTCTTTACTTCAGCTTGATTCCCCAGGTGATGAAGGGGAAAACTGTAGTTGCCATGCCTGGAAGAAGCTGTCCATGAAGATCTGTGAAAGGAGTTTCTTGTCATAAATAGAGTTAACCTTCTTAGCTGGCTCTTCAGCCACTCATTAAGAAGTTAAAACTGCTTTCTTTCAAAGAAATATGACAACAGAACAAAATAGCAGAAAGAAATATTCTGCAATTGTAAGCCATATTTCCTGGTTTTCAGTCAGACAGAATAAGAATCTACCATTAAAATAAAAAAAATCAAAACAAAAAACTCCCAAAAAACCCACAAAAAAAGTGTGTGTGTGCTAGATGGTGTGAGTATCCTACTTGCTGTGCAACTAAAAATCATTATGATTAAAAAAGTAAAAAACAACCCCCAAAAAATCTTATTTCTGTTCAGAATTAATATCACCAAATTTATAACTTCAGCAGATAGATACCCATTCATTTTTAAGTATTAATTTGTGGAATAAGTAATGAGTGTGGTGATCACTGTCACAGAACTAAATTAGCGTCACATCTGTAACGTGAAGGACACCTCAAAGGTACCATGAATCTCATGCTGTTGATTCTGTTACAAATTATTAGCTTAAGATCATTAACCAAATTGCTTTGCACCCGTGCAGGAAAAATAGTCTAGTGAAGGAGTCTGGAGCACAGACTAAAAGATTTGTCACTATTACTTGCAACATGGTGGTTTAGATTAATTTCTATTTACTTTCACTGGACACTGAGTTTCATAGCTGAACTGGACTTGGTGTCCTGATTATTATAAAATTCTACTTTACAGCAAAGTTAGAAGTAATTTCAAACCCTTTGCTTGCTACAGATTTATGCTGTAGTAAAGGGTCAATGGCTCGATATTGCTCTCATGCTGCTAAATACTTCTGTCTTGTACATTCTGTAATAAAATGGAAGTTTGTGCTTCCATGCACATCGCAAACATTTCTGTAAAGTGTGCACACCTCTCACTCTTTTGTCCCAAGACAGACAAGCCATCTTGCTGTATTTTTTCCAGTGCCCAGGGATCCAATCCAAGCCTTTCCCAGACAGGAAGCACTTCCCTCTCAGAACTCCCTTTGGCAGCCCGTTGCATGCACAGGACTCCCTCCTGGGATGTGCAGGGTTCTCCTCTTGCCTCCCTTCAGCAGCAGCCTGACAGCGGTGCCCAGATAGCACAACAATTCCTGAAGGTACCGCAGTGCTGCAGCTTCCCTTTGTGGGTGCTCAGTAGCAGGGCTGGGAAGGACAAGCCAAGCCAAGCCTTAATGAGTGTGGAATTCCAACCCTGTCCGTGGCATTATGGGCAGCAGGGACAGAAAGGCTCGTTCCCTGCAGGTCACGGTACTCCTGTGCACAAAGAGAACTCAAGGGGTTAGTGAGATGAACCCTCTTTAACTCTTCTCTTCATAGGCCCTCTGGAACTCCCACAAACTTAATTCTGAGCCTTGTTTTAACTAATATGAATAATTTTTGTTCCAGTTATTGAACCAGATAATTTTCCTTTAAGAATCCTCATTTGACTCCCAGGCCATTTTCCATGATAATTCACCTGAAAATTGGTATTTGAAAGACTTCAGTGTTTTCTCACTGCTCTCTCTCTCTCTCCACTTTCAGTTCCTTTAAATCAAATGCAAAGCAGCAGTTGTTGCTGGTTACATTTCCTGGAGCTTATGAGACACTGTAAGCTGGATGTGAGCTAGTCCTGCACTTTGGTCCATATGCCTCACCTCATTAGCTTAATAACAAAATGCATACATGGTTTGGAAAACAGGACTAATTATGGAGGTCAGGGAAAGGAGATCCTGGGAATAGAAAGCAAAAAAATTCTATCTAGAAATCTTCATGGTCCTGACACAGTACCTTGCCCATCATTCAACATATAAAGGACACTTTACTCACACATCAAAATATGAATTATTTTACAAGTGTGTGAGTACCTAGAGTTTTAGAGAGTTGATTTATTATGGCTCTTTATTTCTAAGGAAAGAGGCTGACCAGAATGTGGTATGGGGTGGCCTGGTTTCCCTGCCTTCTTTTTTGCTGTATTTCCAGCTTTTGCTGTAGGTGGATACCATCTGTGGGAAAATGTGCACTCAAGTGGCAAACAGTAGCTGATTGACAGGGGTACAAGCACTTCCACGGGTGCTGTGCTGGCAGGTGATCAGGCAGGAAGTGCAGGATATTTTACACAGGAACTTCCCGAGATTCCTCCCAGCTGTGATATTAATATGCATGCGGAGTCTGACAAAATACTGATTAATGTCCAGTATCAGTCAGTGATAAAACAGCATCTGTTTTAATGTTAATAAATGAGGTGGCAAGCAATTTCTGTACAGAAATTACTCATGCATTTCATTTGCTGGTGACACAAGCTAATTGCAGCTAGAAGATAACGTAGCTCAGTTAATTTGGGTTATGGTGTACTCAAACCAGAGTTCAAATCCAAAGCTTACCAGCATGCAATATGGGGGAATCCAGAACTCCCATAAAATGAGACAGTCCTCCATATGTAAATACCTTTCAGAATTCCAAATCTAAATGACAGCTTTTGGAATTTAGCCTTAAAACCTCAGTCAGCTGCAGAGTAGTCCTAGAGAGGTTTGCAGCCACAGCTGCCATTCCTGTCCTGATCTCACCCGCTGTTCAGCCAGCAGAGCTGCACACAAGGCCTGAGTCTCGCAGGACTGAGCTCCTGCCTCTCTCACCTGCCAGCCCCTGTGCTCCAGGTGCTTCTGGGCTGTTTCTGGTGGGATGGTGCACATGATGCAGTGCCTGGTACAGCCTGGCAGGAGCCAAGGACATCCTCTAAGGATACACTGGTGTTAGTTGAGAGTCTTTGATGGAATTGGAATCCCTGGCTTCACAAACCCCTTGCCTGGAGATGTCAGGACCAGCAGCCTCACAGGCTCTCTTTGCCCCCTTAACTGGGGCTGCATTTTCCCCAAGTCTATTTGAGATATGATTTCAGCTTTACTAATACTAACATTAAAGCAGTAAATTTGAACCAAGCAATACAGGTGTACTGTTGAGGACCCAAGAGTAAAATCCAGCTTTAGTGCAGGAAGGAAGAGCAGTCTAAATGAGAGGCAGAGGCCCATTTGTTTAGTAGTTCTTAACAAAAACACATCACATGAAAATGTGTCCTATTAGATTTATAGTAACCATACAAATGATTCATTTAAGCAACAATAAGAGGTCCAATGTATCAAAAAGGTGAAAAATTAATTGAAGATTTAGTTCTAATAGTTGTAGTTTAGAAATAATAAAATTCTCTATGAAGGGCAGCTTTAGATTACAAATACATTTTCTGTAGGTGAAGCAATGAAGGATTTTGTTTCACTCTTATGTATTCCAGTGAGAATATATTTAATAAGTTTAGAATCCATCTTATTCTAGAAATGTAATTTTATTTTTGTTCTGGTCCTGTAAGATTGATCACCATGCTGTGTTACAAGGAAGCCAGATTGATCGAATTAAAACGTTAATCTAAGGCACAAATGGAAAGCAGCTGCAATATCATACATTACCTTTGCATATACAATATGGATAATGGCAAAATAAGAAACATTAGAAAATTGCGTAGGTGACAGAATTACACAGTAAAAATAATAACCAGCACAGACTACTGACAGATTGTGGATGCATTCAATTGAAAGTGACCTTAAATATTAGCTCTTCAAAATGAAAATAATCAACTGTATATTAGAGCTGACAGCCCTGAGTCTGTATCAGATTTCTTGCTCTGTGCTAGGATCCTCTTCAGCTCAGGCAGTAGCACAGAGCAGCTCCCAAAACTTCACTAAGTGCTGATACTGGGAATTTTCTGCCACGGCACTGGGGAGAGAGGGATACAATTGGGCAATTCTGTCTGGGACAGCTTGCTCTCTTAGTATTTATGACAGAGTTGTGTGAGTTCCTGTCTGCCCCAAATGCCCATGCCCAAAGTAAACAACTGTCGTAGGTACAGGTTAATGTAGAGATTAAAACAAAAGGAAAATGAAGTGCTCTGACTTACTATAATACAAATGTGCCATTTACAGAGTGTTATATGGAAACACTGAGGTCAGAACTGCTAAAATGAACTTCATCCTAAGTATCTAATTGGTGTTTGGCATATCCAGTGTGTCACCACAAGTCACTCATCTCCCACTGGGAAATGTGAACGGGTTCACAAGGTCAGAGATACTGTGGGTGAACTGTTTTAATTTTTGGCTAAGATACATGAAAGCTGCTGTTGTAAAGAACTCATTTGTGCATCAGGCATTTGATTAAAGCACCAGCAACAGCAGCCTGCACCACTGACCTGGCATGCAGACACTCATTGAAGCTGCGCTCTCAGAACCTGGCACAGCGTGCTGGGAACGTTCAGCTGAGCTGAGGTGATACAGATAACCACCTCATCTATCATCTTCTCTTTCTTACCCAGTTCAGTAAATACCTGAAGCTAGCAAGACCTTTTACAAATCACCGTCTAGATTTAAATCTCTTTTAAGCAGTTTACTTCTAAATTCATAGTAGTAACATAGTCCTGCAGCACTCTCCCTTGTTTCAGAGTTACTGCTGTCCTTTATTTAACTGGGAGGAAGAGGATTAAAGGAGAGCAAAAGAAAAAACAAAGAGAACACCTTTGCCCCATTCTGATGTATTAGATGTGCAAGAAAAAAATCAGCTACATAGTTTAACTGGGAGAAAAAGTGGATTTGAGGCCATCATTTCATTAAAGATAGCATCTTTCCAATCAATGAAAAAGGACATCTTGGGCTTCCATCTATTTTCTTTTTTTCACAGGGATCCTAATCATCTTTCTGTACCTTATCACTACTATGAACCTCTGGGACCAGACGAGTGCACAATGTACATTTCCCATGAGCGGGGCCGCAAGGGCAGCCACCACCGCTTCATCACCGAGAAACGCGTCTTCGAGAACTGGGCACGGACATTCGACATCCACTTCTTCCAGCCAGACTGGAAACCAGAACCACTCACTGTAACCCACCCTGAGGTGAAACCACTGGCCTGAGGGATGAATGCACAAGCCCAGCCACAGTCACCTCCGTAGCAGCCTCTGGACCCTGTGGGCCAGCACGGCAGCCTGGAGGAGAAGGGAACAGGGTCTGCAGCTGGCACCCGCAGCAGCGTCAGGAAGTTGGCATGGACGAGCAGCACACACCAAGAGTACTTTCTATTAAACTGTATTAACCCAGTCTGCCACCTTTTGGGGCCATCTGACTTCCTGTGTGTGTTTGTGATTCGTGAAACACAACCTGAGTGTCATTAAGGGATGGTTAATTCATTATGGCTTTTTTAAGTATGATGCCACTGAATTTTCATAGTGAAAACTTTCCATATTTATTTAATGGAGGTTTTTATGCAACCTAGGCCAGTATTTTTCTAAGTCACAGTTATGTGGTTGTTTATCTTTCATAATCTTTTAAATCCAAAATTAATATTGCTGATGGTTTGAAAGGCCTAGCTTTTTATTTATAAAACTTGTTTGAAATATATAATTCTATATAGCATGTTATTAATATTTGATCGGGAAACGTTGGATTTCTTCTAAGAATTTTGGGCTCTGTTCCAGCCTAAAGCCTTTAACAGCAAGAGTGGTCCCATGTGCAGATCCAGCTCACTTTACATTCTGACATCTTATATTAATATGAAAATGGTAGTGAAAATTCTGTTTGATATTAATGTGCACTTGGTGCTGTGCTATCCAGCTGCTGCTTTTTAAATAGGGGTGGGAGGAAGGAGGGCAAACAAGATTTATCCAAAAAAAGCCAAACCCCCCATCGGCCATGGCAGCAGCTTCTCACTGAAGACAAGCTAAGGCTGGAGGGGTTGTGTTCTGTTTTGGCTCTTGTATTCCCATAAGAGGCTGCCAGCAACCCTCCTGAGGCAACAGACTAAAAAACCAGGCCACAGCTGCTCAACACAATCTGACCAAATTTCCAGAATGAAGAAGGTAAACCACCAGTACCAGTCATAGTAGCCAGAAAGATCACAGCACTGCACCTGCAAAAATCTCTACCTTCCACGGTCCCAAGATCATCACTGATCTCAGAGATTCTGGATCACACCGAAGCTGGGATGTGAAAAGCATTCCATGAGTACAAAATTGTCCTCCTGAAAGGAGCAAAGTTAAACTGCTTTTTTTCCCATGGAGTACCTATGTGTGCATGGTGAGTCCCTGCAAGACAAAGGGGAAGGACAATGCTCATGCTGTGTATGGAACCTCACAATGGGAATTACTGAGTTACATGTGGCTTGTGAATAAAGAAGATTTCAGTTACAGTATTACTTTCCCTTTTGCTTCACAAATATCAAATCTCAATTTTTTTCGAAGTAATCAGTAACTATTGCATGAAACATACCTCAGGTGATGAAAGGTGTCTCATTAGACAAGTGCAAAAGCTAGAACAAAGATACTACCTTTAAACACCTAAATCCAAGAAGCTGAACCTCAGAGGTGAGACACAGAACTGGGACCAAACACTCTCATTTAAACCCCCTTATAACCCACGGTCTTCCTCTTTTCAAAACTGGATAGCAATAGCTGCAGCCGCCCCACAGATACCCTGATTCTCTGGGGACAAAGTGAACTGTCCTGGCAGGGGCAAACTGGTGTCACCTCTGTAACACTGCCTGGAACTGAAGTGCAAGTCTCCGAGAGCCAGTGTCCTGCTGCAGCCCTGCCCACTATCAAAAAGTAAGAATCTATAATGTATTTTGCCTTAAAAGCTTAATTTTGGTGTTCTTCCTGGTACACACCACTCATCTTACAAACTGAATGCCAAGTGTGTGTTACCTTTCTCTTGTCAGCTGGTGTTTAACTCTCCTTTCACTGATGGTGTTTTATTCCCTCCACTTGATTTCACTGCATTCTATAAAAAACAGAATGGGTTTTGAACTAATGGCAGTTTGAACATCCCTTTCAACATGTGTACTGGGGTGTATCCAGCATATTGATGAAATCTGTCAAACTGATTTACAGATCATTTCTAATGTGACTGCAAGACATGGTACAGATCACAGTAGGTCCTCTGCTACCATCCCTGTTTTATTACTGATAAAATAATAAAAAGATCTTGTCATTTTAAACTAGAGCTCTTAGTTTTCCATCAGTTAAGGGCTGCAGGATGTGTATGCTGTATGTTTAGCTATGTTATTGTTAAAATCAGATCATTTAAAGATAGAGTACACTGGCCTACTTCTGTAGAAACACAGAGACTTGCCTGACCCCATTGTGTTCCACAGGTTTGTTCCCTGACTGCAAGACTGCTCAGTGTCAAGTAGATATGGGGAAGCATTAAGAATATGAAGAAATATGGAATAAACTGTAAGGACACTAAATCTCCTAACAGAGCCAAGCTAAGCATTTTAACTCATTCCTTGTTCAGTTTCTGTTAATAACTGTGTGTTCTTGCTACCCTCATACATCTTTTAAACAAAACAAACCCAAACTCACTTTAATCTCAGCAACCTCCTGTGAAGTTCCAGCAAAGTCCCCCATCTAATTACAAAAAGTATGAAGGAGTATTGTCTTAAGTCACACCTGTATATATAAAAAGGCATTTGAGATGCCAAGGAGACAGCAAGTTTTAAACAGATCGCACAGATTTACATAGAACATAAATTGAGTCCTAAAAGCACAAGTTACAAGAGTGCAAAGAAATGTAAATAACTGTTAAAGCACTGCAATTTTAATTAACAGATCACTGATGTATTTCTCTATAAATGCACAATTTTTGAGCTACAGAATCCTGCTGCATTTCAGCAGCATGATGTAAGGTTTTATGGCCTAGTTATAAACCAAACAGATTTATGACAGAAAATGCTGTCAGGCTAGGGATAAGTAGTACAAACTGGGCATTGCTCCCATTCTCTGCTTTATGCTGTCACCTCACACTCTTCACTATAATTTGATCGATTCATGATCTGCAGCGCATCATTTCACATATTAAAAGCTGTTGCAAAACAGTTTACAGACATCAGCAATTTCAAGATCTATGTTGGTTTAGTTCTGAACCCCTTGCATACCTTTAGGCTTTTACACTTGCCTTTGTCAGAGGAGATATTTTTCATCTTGAAGAACTGCAGTTCTTACACCATGGTATGTGCAACTGGAATTGAGAATGATAAAGAAAACATCTCTGCAACTAAGCACAAAAAAGTTCCACCACAGCTGCTTTGTGTTCTGTTGGCTCCATGGTGACGGCACCATGGTACAATGGCAAACCATGATGCACACGGAAAAACCCAAAGTACTAAAGACCTCAGAAAGTTAACACTTTATTCTTCATAAGGAAACTGAGGAAACAGAAGGTTAATTAACTAAGGCCAAGTTACAGCCTTGGAACAGGATTTGGGAGAGATTCAGGTCTGCTGACTGGCAGCCCTAGCTTGATCCAGCACAACACACGGTGGTACTGCCATGTTCACTCATACAGGCAGTAAACAAAATCCTTCTGGAGCTGCCTACCTGAGACTTGTCCTGTATTTTCCAGGCAAACTTCAAAGGAAACTAAGTGATTTTTACCCAAAATACCTCTAAGGTTGCAAGGAAACAGTAAGATAAAAATAGCTGGAAAAGCATTGGGGAATGGGGTGAAGGGAATCTAAACAGTAAGGAATAAAATGTACCTTGTGTCATCTAGCTTTATTCCTCTGGAATGTGAAGATCAAACTCAGGCTGGAGCTGACAGAGAAGAATGTCCTTGCTCAACAGCAGTGGCTGTTTTGCATAGATTTCTTTGCAGTATTCTGGAAGTTGATCATAGGTGCCACAAAAACTCTTCAAAAAATGCTGATAATAATTTCTGTAATCCAAGTTAATTATTTTATCTGATGCAAGGAGACACAATTTCTAATTAAATTAAAAACATAGCTTAGGGATTAAAAAAAAATAATAAGCAGTTAAACAGTCAGAGTATTTGTAAGACAGGAAAAAGTACTGCAAAACAAAAGGAAGTACAGAAACCTTACAGGTACCAATATTTCTGTCTTCCCTGGACCAACAGTTCATACTGATCACTTTGAATTTCCAGCTGCCTGCTGCAAAGGCATACCTTGCATATAACAGGTATACAATTTTGTAAGGAGAAAGAAAAAAGAATTAAGGACAATCTTGTTTTATAAAAACCTAGGAAATATTCTTTTAAAAAACCCTAGGAAATATGAAAGGGCAAATGTCTAAGATGGTGTGAAATTTCTCTGTGCTGAAGCAGAAAAATATAAAATTCAAAGACTCTTATAAAATGACTGTCAAATAGCACTGCTTATGGTAAATACCCTTAAAACCACTAGACTGTTAAATGTTTTTCACACAGAAAATTACACCAAAACATGAAATGTCAAATGATGCCCTTTGACCACCATGTGGATGGAGATTCAGCATCACAGCAAAGCAAAGCTGGTGATTTCACCTCAGCCAGCTGTGGAACAGACTCCATGGCAAAGGCAGACGTGTGGAACCAGGCCCTGAACCAGCATCCCCTCGGTGCTGAGCCCCTCCAGGGTGCCAAGTAAAGAGCACACAGCTGCACAGCACTGCCAGGAGAAAGGGACACATCCCTCTGTCCTGCCTGGCACTGAAGGCCAGGCCACAGCAGAGAAGCTGCACAGAGATGACCAACACACAGTGTCCCTGTCTGCTAATGAAGTGCTTTGACCACGAGTTACCAGGAAAACAGAACAGACAGGAAAACTGCAGACAACCCCAGCAATCCTGACAAACAGATGGAAACCTGCAAGAACAAAATTAGGAGTCACAAAGAAGACAGACTGGCTGAGATGTAATGCAGCTTTTGTAAGCAGAACCCTGCCTTGCAAATCTATTTAGTATTCTTCAAGGTTCTCTGAAGCAAGGGCAGAAAGAGATCCAAGTGATGGATCCACTTGGAATTCCACAACTAGGTTTGCAAAAGACTTCCAAAGAAGTTACAGTTAACAGAAAAAAAAAAAAAGATCCTCACCCTATGGAACTATCTGAACATAGAAAATAAGGCCAAGAGCATACAGCAT